TGGGTTGACCGATTGTAACTAGTTTGCGAGCGGTTTCACATTATTTCAATATAATCTGGTCAAACATCAAGGTCTTAATGTTAAAGTTCTGTGGTTTATTATGTGTAAGAATTAAATAGTTGTTTGTGAATTATCTGTTATTAAAAAATATTTTGCATTCAATTCACAATTATTTTGTAACAAAAGATTTTTATATAAAAATATTTGCGTAATATTTTTATTAATATTGTAATACAATGACTATAGTTACATAATAACAAACTATACCTAACAATACCTATTGTGTGACATTCTAGAAAAAAACTAGAAATATATTTCTAGAATGTTTGCATAAAGGCTATTGTTGGGGGACTGCTATAAAAAGGGAACATTAAGTAATGTATGGGAGAGTTAGCCCATTGTGAGACCACTATTATATGATCACTGGCTATGAGTGGCACATAAGACCAGTTTTTATTGTGAAAGTTATACCTTATATAAGGTTATACTTGAATTGAATGTAAAAACTATTTGAACTGAAATAATAAATAAATTTGTGAATAATAAACTTGTGTATTTTAATATATTGGACCCTAATGAAAAAGCTCAATTAACATTTAATTAAACAACTACGTAAGTTATTTGTGCTGACAATTACCAAGATCATCTACAATAAGTTATTTTAGAAATATTTTAAACATTTTTGTATTTTAAATATGGATTATGCGGTTGTGGATTATGAAATATGGGCTACGGCAGCCTATAAGTCATCCCTTAACAAATTGCCAATTCAATCAATTAGTTACGAAAATAACTCTGCTCACATTTTACATGCATGTAAGCACCATGATGTCACTCAGTTCAATGGCACTGTTTATCTTGCTAAAACCGAGTACATGGTTTGTTATATTGCTAGAAATAATTTTAAACTAATTAATAAGATATTGTTATTATTGTTGGCATCTAGACTCATTTTGATTCATTTAATCTATCATTTCTACAATACTTGTTATGTGTATTAAAACTTAATGTCTTAGTTGTGAAGCGATGTGTGGATGCAATAAAGGTTATAATTAAAATTAAAATAGTAATTAATGTTTGTAGTTTAATAGTAATATTAATTGTAATCAACTAGCTTAATGGAACCTGTCTTAGCAAGGGCAATTTTGGTGATGATGAATACAACTATTCCACCACTAGTTTCGTACAGTATGGCCAGTATTTCCAGATTGAAATCATAAGCGTTTTGTTGTTCACTGGAGTTCGCCGTTATTTCAGTTATGTTTCATTATTCTCGCTACAGGTTAGCAATTAATCTTAATTTAAATAATAATAATTATTATTTGATTAAAGTGTTGGTTGGCCCTGATATGGCTGCACATAATGTACACATTCATTACGAACCGTATGTGTGACTCCAGGATATCGTTCAGTGATCTGTTTCTCGAGTTTTATCGGACACTCACTAACCAAACGGCGACTAAACTCAAAGTTTTTTCAAACTTCAATCACATTAGATTTGTTCACAGAAAGAATATTCTGTATATTCTGTTGTTTTCGTGGATAGTTTGCGTTAACTTTATATCCAAGGCGTTTAGCAGTGTTTTGCGGAACTCCTACTTTGTTCAAACTTCAATCACATTAGATTTGTTCACAGAAAGAATATTCTGTATATTCTGTTGTTTTCGTGGATAGTTTGCGTTAACTTTATATCCAAGGCGTTTAGCAGTGTTTTGCGGAACTCCTACTTTGAGTTCAAACCTACTTTGATGGCCGAATCTCTCAATGATATTATTAATGACATGGAAATTATGATCGCCGGGAGAGGTGTTGTCAACTATTTAACCTCATATCCGGATCTATATTATGAGCAAAACTATAGGAAAATCGCAAAAAGGATCTCTGATTACGAAAACAGACTCAACATATTCACAAATAAGCGCAGAATTGATCTAGTTAATGAACAGTTATTATCAGATTTATTTGGTGGTAGGTTAGTTTTGTTAATAAAATCCGATACTGGCGACAGCTTTATACAGTACTTTGCCGGTACTAATTTGCAATCATCGACTTATAAGTATGGTCAAACCTATGCTAATTTCGTGGTCTCAAAGCATAATAGTTATTTTCGTAACATTACCTACATGTGTGTAAAATAATATACATATTTATTACCACATATTTGTATTTATAATTATTAAGTGTTTTATATTTTTAGTTATAAATTAAGTGTTGAATGCGGTTTAATGGCACATACACTGGTAATTAAACACATGGCCACCGGTGTTATGGTTAAGGAACTGGTGGCAACACCAACATATACACCCACCTCTGATAAGACTAATAAGAAAATATCACTTGGTGATTTTTATAGGGGATGCCTGTCCACACTTTTCATAGCATACACCATGACTATTGTGTGTGTTTTATGGGAATTGCGTTTAATTATAAACAAATTGTAACATAATTATATTTAATTACTATAATTAATTTGGCATATTAATATTTAATTATTTCTGATATTTATAATTAGCTTTCGACTGGTAGCACATACTCTGGTCATAATCTGGTCAATCATCAAGGTCTCACTATTGAAGTTCAGTGACTTTCTAATGGCTAATAGTATATATGGTAATGGGTTGACCGATTGTAACTAGTTTGCGAGCGGTTTCACATTATTTCAATATAAT